GTCACAGCCCCTTTTCGCAAAACAAAAAGGGCGGCGGGAAAAGGCAGTTTCTGTCCAAAGAGAAATAGCAACAGCAACAGGAACAAAGATATTTTTACAGGGGTAACAGGAAGGAAGGAACCTGAACAGAACGTTTAGGTAAAAGTTTAGGTAATGTTTAGGTAAAAGTTTAGCATGTTTAGGTAAAAGTAAAGGTTCCCATTGGCATTGAGTCCAGTCGTGTCCGACTCCAGGGCACGGTGCTCATCCCTGTCTCCAAGCCGCATAAATTTTTGTCCAAAGACAGTTTCCGTGGTCACGTGGCCAGCGTGATTAGACACGGGATGCTGTGACCTTCCCACCGAGGTGGTACCTATTTATCTACTCGCATTTACATGCTTCTGAACGGCTAGGTTGGCAGGAGCTGGGACAAGCGACGGGAGCTCCCTCCGTCACGTGGATTCGATCTTACGACGGCTGGTCTTCCGACCTTGCAGCCCAGAGGCTTCTGCGGTTTAACCCGCAGTGCCACCACATTTACCTGTGATTGTCACGCATGAACCTTGTTTTGCTTTAGGGCGACCCAGCTGCAGGTGGTAAATTCTTACCAACGGATTGTGAAGAGAACGATTACAACATGGCGGTTTTGGAAGGAGGGAGAAGACTACGTTTTTGAGATCTTGAGGTAGAGCAGAAGCTCCGACATTTAATATCCAGAGGTTGACAAGATTGTTTGCCTGTACATCTTCCATTTTCTAAGGCAATCCCAGGAACCGACAGCTACGAACGCCATTTTTTTTTGTTAAAGCTTGTGCATGAGGAAAAATGCACGCAGTTGCCATTATTCCCAATTTTTCTGCACAATTTATTGCAGCGTGCCCAGTAAGAGATGCCACGGCATCGACTCCCACATATGGGAGGGATCTGCCCGAGGAGAACCCTGCTTGCTGTGTGTGTGTGGTGAGGCAAGGGAAATATTTCCCCGTACAAGCCACGGTGGCCTCTTCTCGTGTGGTGACCTCTTCAACGCTGTGCCGAGCCCACGACGAAGCCCCGAGAAGCCATTTCTGAGAAAGTCGGTTTCGCCCCAACGAACTCCGTTTTTGGGCTCGACCACGTACGGGAAAAGTGGGAGAGATTTGGGAGCAAACGGTGTGATTTGGAAACACAACATGGCCACGCAACAGCCTTCCGGGTCGTAGATCCCTTGCTAAAAAAAAAAACCCACAAAACTAATGACTGTTAATTGGGATTTGGTGAGGATTTCACCAGCCCTCTTGGAGGATGACTGCCGGGGGGTGGGGTGGAAATGGGACGAGGCTCATTCACCCAAATTCCACGGCTGGATCAGAGGTCGGGAACTATCGGCCTTCTAGGCATCCAAATCCACCGGACCCTTTAAGGCAAAAACCACAGGATTTGGAAACTGCTTTCCCCCCCCATTTCTCCTTGCTGCCAATGAGGGTGGAACGTGGGGGGTCCAGGGTTGCGGTCCCTGCCCCATCCTCGGTGTTGACCCAAAAGGGTCTCCTCTTTTGGGTGAACACCAGGGAAGACCTCTTTCCTTTCCTCCTTTCTGTGATGTTGGGTTTCATCCCTACTCATTTGTTCTATGCTTTGGAGGGGTGTTTTTTTGGGGGGGGGTGTGCTTCAGTTGCCCACCAACGGCAGGAACGATCCTGTGCTCCGTGGCCAGAGTGGCCCTCCAAAATCTAGCCGGAGTTCAGCAACGGTCCTGGAAAAGGCAACGCTTTAAAATGGCTGCCAGGATGAGTGGATTTGGGGGGGGGTCATGCCTGCTGTGTTTTCTGAACACATACCCTGTCGGGCTTTGCACCGATTCTGCCACGATCGCAAATGGCCAGGAGTCCCAGAAGGACAAAAGGATTCATGTCAAATGTGGCCTTGGGGGGCTCTCCTTGCATGGTCAAGACGAAAAAGACTATATATATGAAATTGACTTTTGGTGGGGCGGCCGCTTTGGAAAAAAAAAAGAGCGTGGGGAGGACCCCAGACTCCCAAATCTTTAATAACTGTGTGGAAGAGGAAAATGCAGCTTGTGTAGCTTTCAGGACAAGCCAGGCTACCTCAATGTGCCTTTTCAGATAACTCTGAAAGGCGGAGGGGCCCGATTCTCGCTTTGAGTGTCCGTGTGTATTTTTTTAAGTGTTTGCCCTCAACTGTCCTCTTAGCAGACAGAGGCATTTTAGAGTTTTGCCTTAGGCTGCTGTTGCTTCTAGCTTATTTTTTGGCTAACCTTCCCAACCTGGAGCCTCCCCTTTTGGCGTTTTGGACTACAACACCCATCAGCCCCAAACAAAAGGGGACAATGGGAGTTATAGTCTAACACACCCAGAAGGTGCCAGATTGGGGAAGGGAGGGCTGAATGCCTTCCTTGTGTTTTAACGGTTGGCATCAGCTTCCATTCTGTGACTTGCACGACACCTTACTGGTGGAGGGCTTTCTCACCCTTGATCATCATCGCAGGAGGTCCTGGGGCTTTTTGGATACCAAGAAAGTAGGCTTCCAAATCTGTGTTATTGAACTGTTGCTCTTGCAATAACGGGCAATGCATCAGCCGGGGAAAAGCACGGTATCTCCCCCATGGTGAAATGGAGCCTTCTTTCGGATCCATTTTCAAGAAAGGTTTAGGCATTCTGAGAATTAAAACCAATTTCCTCTTTGGGGCCTTTACCCCTTTCACAGGTGAGCAAAACCTCCAGCGGTCACCTGGCAAAATAAATCTCGGCTGACTTGCCTTGCTTTTTGACCCGTTATACTGACGTACCCCTGTATATAAATAAAACAGATTTTTTTTAAAAAAAGGTTGCTTTTTAGATCATGCCCACTCACATCGCAGCAGGAAACACGTTCTACCCATGTGTGTGTGGGGGGTCCAAAAAAAAAAAAAATTAGGGGAAATGCACCTGCCGCACAATCAACGGTTTTGATAGCTGTCTTGTGCATCTTAGTCTGTCGTCCTTGCCAGAGATTCGAACTTCAAATCCATAGCTAACAGTTTCTGTAAGCGATTGTATTCAAAATCCTTTAAAAATGAATCACAATTTTAAAAAAAAGAAACGCAACACAATGAAGACCAGTGAAATCAAGGGCATCTTCTTGAGTGAGTTACTGAACCAATTAAGCACAAAACATTGCAGTCGTTGTGAACAGGGAAACGGGGACGGCCCAAGGGACTCAATGAGTCAGCAGTGGGAATACTGGGGTGGTACCAACCACCCACCACACACAAACAAACTGGTTCGGTACCATTGCAACTGTCATGGCTTCCTATGGAATTACAATCTGGGGCAGGTGGTGGGCATTCACTCAGAAGATCTCACCTGTACCTAAATCACAGACTGACCGATCCCCTGTGATAAAAAGAATGATGGATAAACCGGGTTTTTACCCATCAGTTACAGACAGCTGAACATCATATTGGTCCCGAGTATCCGTGAGCGACCACAAAACTTACTGGCTGATTTTACCTACGGCCTCCATCTTGGTTCTAACTACCTGAACCATATTCCTTCTTTGCTTCAACACCCAACACGATCGATCTTTCCTTCCCTAGCAACCTCACTGCTTTAACTTTCTTCTGGAAAATAAAAAAATCTCGTTCCACACGTCAGGTGGCCGTCGCAAGGGCTTTTTCAAACCCGATGGTGCAGAGAATCCACCAACTTTTAATGGAAAACCTGGAAATCTAGAAGGAAAAAAAAAAAGAAATGGAGAAAAGGGAGGCCGAAATTGTTGCTTTTCACTTTCCAGAATCCTTTTTTTTGTGTGTGTGTGTGATTTTATGCGGAAAGTGGGTTCAAACAGCATTGAGGGAGAGCTTTGAGGGAGAGAGAGAAAATAAATAAATAAATACAAATCAACACTATATGATATAGGGTGAGCTACCTTTCCAATAATAAGGAACTTATAACAACGCCTAGTGGTCTAGGATAAGAACGGAGATTTATTTTATATATATATATATATGTGAAAAAAACCCACAATTGCTACACAGATCAAAAGAAAAGATAGGAACATCAGAACCCCAATCAATATAATATTATATATAAAAATATATTTATATATATCTCACAAACAGTGCCTTCAACATACAGATGACATCACAGCGTGTTGCCATGGAAAACGACATTATGAATTACAAGATCAAAGATGCTCAAGCAAAGTGGAGACACATATTCCTTGTTTTGGTGGTAAGGGGAAGAAAAATGAAGGAAAAACAGGAGCTGTCTTTAAAACAAACGTGTTTTTTAAATAAAAAGGGGGACCTTGTCAGCTGAAACATAAGCTCTCCCTCTCGAAAAGGCACAAGACCAAACACTACACCCCATTTTCTTGTACAACACATTTTCGTTCCTTCCTCACAAGCTTCCTGCCCCCTCTTTCCCCCTTAACCAAAAATGGAAAGAAAATCAAAATATATTCAATGCAATTTATCACCTCCAACCCCCCCCCCAAATCTTAATGGTAAGCATCTCCAGGGCATAAGCATGAATCCCCCCCCCAAAAAAAACCCTACCATTTTTAGGACGAAGGACAGAAAAGAATTAAGACATCTTACAATATATCAGCCCTCCCCCCTCCCCGCCTCAGCATATACACTTTTCCCATCGAAACCAATATTTTGAGATATGCAGCACGCTGTTAAAAAAAAATCTGATGCAAATACGTAAGGGAGCCTACACAGATTTTCTCTGGCCTTGGCATAGGCAAAAATTTGATTCCAGAGGCAAAAGGTATTTAAAATCAACCCCCCCATCCAACCTCTCTCCTCCCCTCAAACCCGCAACCACACACGCAAAAAAAAAAATCAACATCCTGCAGATCCCCTTTTTATGAATCCAGCACCCCCATTTATAAGCAAACCTTACAATGAAATACATAAACCATTTTCCCCTTTATGACAGAAAGGGTGCAATCTTCCCTACCCCCCCCCAAACATGCAAGAAAAGGTTATATAAGTTAGTTCATATCTAATACATATTTTTTCAGCTTCAAACCTTTTGTCGTAGAAATATGATGTGTCGTAGTATCAATATTTAAGGATATTTTTTTGGGGGGGGGAAATGAAAAATAAGGTCTCTGCACCGTTTCGCCCCCCTTCAGCTCTGGCCCCCTCCCTCTGAGATGCACGATGCAGGCTGTCAACAGTTTCGTCTTGAAAAACTGCAAACCCACCTCCCCATCCGCCCTCCCCTCGTTTGCTCTCTCTCTCTCTGTCTCACCCTTCCTCTCCTGCAAACACTATCTCTCCTTTTTCCTCTGTGCGATGGAACAGGCGTGCAAAAGGTATGTCTCTCTATGTCCCAGCTGTCTTTTCCTTCAGCCCGACTCAATGGGCTAGGATTTTTGTGAATGGAGGGTCACATGACCTAGGATAGGTTCTTTGTCCCTGTTTCTTGAATAAACAACAGGTGAAGAGGGGGGGGAGGATTATAACACATGTATCTTTAAATCTGCATCGTGTCCAGGTGATAAAAAAAAGGGGGGGATGTCGATCCATGCAAGATTTTCAACCCCCCCATTGATTTCACACACATACACACGCACACACACATGCACACGTACATCAATGCCAGATCCTTCCACTATGACACAGCCAGCTTAAAAGCCCCCCTCCACTAGTAGCCAGACCCCCCCCCCCAAAAAAAACCTGACAGGTTAAAAGAAAAGGAAAAAAAAAACCTCACCATTCCAGTATCTCATACAGCAGACCCTGGCTTTTTATGAATGAATCCCAATGCAAATGGCTTCGATTCACAAACAAATAGACCCCCACCCTTTTTCCTTTCTTGCCTTCTCTCTTTTTTTTTGGTGGGATCGAATTTCATTCATAAAAAAGACCCACCTTCCTCTTTGGAGGAAAAGGAAAGGCTCATTGAAAAAAAAAAATCCATACACCTACCTAGGCAGATATCTACGAAGTACAAATATCATTTTAGGGAAATATATTGAAATAACACCTCTGACAATTTTTTTTAAAAAAACCGAGAGAGGAAAAATATATATAACATTTGTAGAAACGTACAAAAGATGCTTTTAAGACATGGCCGTTTTTTATGAATGGAGGGGACGTTTCCTTTCCCTTTCCCACGCCACCCCACCGAGCACATCACTTAGTATAAAAAAAAGGGGGGGAAAGAGGGAAAAACAATGTCCCCCCCCCTTTATAATAAACAGTAAATCTTAAAAGAAAATATGTACACACACATAGACATCAGAGGAAAGACTCACTGTGAATCAATGGCTGATTAGTGCTCCCAGATTAGGGTTTGCATAGTCACGATCAAGGGACGCCCCCCCCCATGACTCTCCATCAATTAAAATTTCATATGTACCTACAGATATGTTTAGGTTCCCGTTCATCATCATCATCA